CTCCCCGCAGGTCGGAGGGAGGCGAGAGTCTGGGAATCACGGACGATCTGGAGGTCGAAGTTGGCCATGCTGAGGTTTAGAAGTCCGTTTTGGAGCCCTAGCTGGTCTTGTGCAACAGCCAGGGAAACTGTAAGCAACACCACAGCCCATAAGGGCATGAGATTTGTCCACATTCTCTCGGTCAACATGGCCTATATGGCTCAGGCTGTTTATTCCCCAGAGACAGACCGTGCCTGAGAGCGGATGAGCTCCTGTAAAGTCTGTCTAATTCATCCTTCAAGCCTTGGCCGTCTCCATGGTCAACATACTGTGCCAGAACATAACAAGCCAGTGAAGTGCGGGGAAACCAGCCTCTGCTAAAGAAAATGTCGCTCTCATATGTCACCACAATCCGCTTACCACACCCGCCCCAATCATCTTGCTCGGCTAAACTTGGATTCACAAAAGACTGAATGCTAGGTATGTGTTTATCAGAGCAATGGCAAGATATCTGAAGCTTAATGGGCATGTCTCAACTATCTATTTACTTGGTTGAGCAGGACCCTTTCTTGGTGATCATTATATATCTAATAGAGAAACAGACTGGACCGAGAAGAAGGAGAGCTGTGGAGGCAAACAAGAATCCCAGCGCCAAATCACACATTCGGAGTCCGATCCATATGGGGGCCTAATAAACAAGCATATACAGGCACATATCTTCGCATAGGTAGGCGCCAGTCTTACAAGGGTTCGGTTCATACATGCCAAAATTAGTAGATTCTACGTTTGAGATTTATTGTACAAGGCTGGAATATAGGATGTTTTGAACTTTCTAGCAGTATCATGCATATATGCCTCAACTTGAACTAGGCTAGAAAGTGAAATAGAACATCAGAAACATAGCAGTTCGCTAATTGCCAATGCCATCAATCAGCAGTTGCCCAGCGCCAAGGCAGGCACTACCATCCCAATCTTTTCTTTGGCATCATCAACCGCTTCCTGCAGCGGGTCGATATACAACTGCGATGGCAGGCCCTTGGCTTGGACGAGCTTGGCCATAAGGGAGCCAGTCTGGGCCACATCATCAGATACCCTTGCCAGCGCGGTGCATATGACAGCGCCTCCGTTTCCTTGTCCCGATTGACGCTGATTTGTTTCCCAAGAGTTAATTTTGGCAGTTCATGTCGTGGCCCAAACTGTGGACTGCAAAGATGTATCACCGGCGACTGACCTTGGCGAGACTGTCACTTTCCTCATCCTCATCCCCGACTGGAGCTTGATATCGAGGACAAGACACAGCATCAAAAAGTGCCCAGACGTTGATGGTGGCAGAGTCCAAAAGCGTCATGAATTGGCGGATGGTGGCGCCTGCCTCAGAGCTTCCCAAAGTCGGAACCAGGATCTGTGCGCCGCCGAGGGTGCCCTCGAGGGTCCCGTACGAGTCGACTATGTCTAGTATGGCATTACATGGGAATGATGGCGGTGATGCCCGGCTTCGGACGTGAACAGTGGAACTTTGCCGAGGGATAGCCTGTCAAGAAATGTTAACTTGATTGAGCAGCACGGTGATTGCGGCATTGCCTGTGAAGTCTGTTGGGCCCCTCTGCGGCACTAAGGTAGACATACACTTGCTGTTGCTGGAGTCACCACATGTGGAAGAATACCAACAAGGGCGATAAGGATAGCTGGCAATGTCAGATTTTGGTGCCACATCTTGCCGTGATTTTCGAATCAAGTTTCTCAGACGTGAATCCTACGATTCCCGTCGACATTTCATCACCATTGTCGGTTTGGGAAGAGGAACCTAAAGATTCACTCTCATCGGCACTTCCTCCCCGCAATCCGATGCTGTGGCCGGCTCGGTCGTGGTTGCACAGCCGGCATGTAGATATCATGTCCGAGGAGGGGAATGTCACGGCGGCGGAATTATCCTGACATCAGCCTGTAAGCGGACGGCGTGGGCCAAGTATTGCGGCTCTCGGCATGGCATCTTGGTAGTGCGCAGCAATAATGACAGCTCTTGGGAGAGGGGACATGGCGCCAAATAACCACAAACCAGCACGATTTGAGCAAGTTATCTCAACGGCGCGTCACCAGGGGAGTTCGTCTGCTATCAGAGACTAGAGTTGTCCCGAGGCTGGAATCACCTTGCAAAGGGCTGTTAACGTACCTAGGTACCTGACCGACGCCTGCAAACTTCTATTTAGACTGTGGCTGATAATAAGCACAGACACAACACTAACCAGGTACCTCAGGCTGCTAACTGAACCATCACTTCCTTAGAACAAGGCCGCAAGGTGTCAGAAAGCTTAAATGTTAAAATTACACATGTGTTGGGCTTCTCGTTTCATAATTGGATAAAAAGACATCGGCTTAACGTCATGGCTTCTATGGCCCTATGGGCTATCAACAGCTGAGGGCAGTGACCGTTGCAGTGCGTCATGACCCTTCAACTTTCTAAGTCACAGCTGAAAAGCAAAAAAAAAAAAAAAAAAAAAAAAAAAAAGAAAAGAGGAGGGAGGAACTCTTGTGGCTCGTCTTCACACCACTGGCCCATTCCACAAGGACTAAGGTACAACTTTACGAAGAAGATGCTGCACAATCTCAGTCACCGGCCCTATGGCCAAAGCGAGATTTCTCCAGCGTTGCGAGCAGTACAAGTGACCATTATCACTATTGCTTGCAGTGTTCAGCTCCCGCCTTGAGGTCAGCTCGGGTTGTTTGGCATCAGCTTGCTGAACCCGGGGGCTAAATGCCTGTCCAACATGGCAATAACAACCTCACGACTCAAGAGGACTGGAGATGCCCAAGCGAGCATAGTCAACAACCAGAGTTCGACGCTTTTGACTCGGGTCTGAATGTTGGGCTTGCAAATTTGGCCAATCACATGTGCATTTCGAGCATCTTTGCCAAGCCATCTCTGTATCGAGAATCGAGATCTGGATGCTTGGTTCCACCTTCCCAGCCACCTCGAGCCAATAGGATCTGGATCCGCCTGACTCGGAATGTCGACTTGTCCCCATTTTGACGTAGAGAGACAAGTGTCGGGTGTTTTTTCTCCTGGCTCTTGATGCCCAATCATTTTCCGCCGCGCAGTCTACACTTTATTAGTCTATTGTACACCGGCCATCTTGCAATGCTACATGTATTTTGCTGCGACTTCTTGCCAAGTTCTTTTCCTCCTGGACGCCTCACTTAACGTTTTGTTGTCAACCGGGGCTTACCTTTCCAAGATGCATCACTGCAGTTACTGAGTCGTCTTGGCTCGATGTACCGGTATGGGGCACCACTTGATATGTAACCTGGAGGTTGATGTGGGCCAAGCAGCGATGACAACTGGCGGTCAGTGACTCAGTAGACCCGTCACTCAGTACCAGCCACGTCAGGACCCACGGCCCCGGGGAAAGTCAACGGGCCCTCACTCGTGCTGGCGGCTTCTGGTAGCGGGTAGCCAGTTGGGCAAATGTCGAAACCCAAAAGAAATCTGGCAGGCCAAGCAGCTTGCCAGGTCACTCGCTTCACTTGCCAATTGGAATGCACTAGGCCAGCTCACGGTCCGCTAGCAGCCCTCGTTTCCTTCCCGTCCTTAGCACAGCGGTCCAGCGGATAACCGTTGGATGGGGCCCGACGCCAGACCATCTTGGGCATCATGATGCCACAAGACTGCAAGACTTGGACCCAGTTGTCCGGCTCTCCGGTTAGTATTAAATACTCTGCTCCGTTCTCTGAACATTTGATGTCCCCTTGATCATTTTCAATCTCATCAAGACACAAAACAGCACACACGTCATATCAAGAAACTCTGGACAAAGTTACAAACAAAGCTCTTGTAAAAATGGTCGTCAGCACACAAGAACTGGTAAGTGCTCTCCCTCCTTCAACCAGCAGTCTCGTATCTTGCTAACATTTGACTCGTCACTGGCAGCGCCGTCGCTGGACCGACAAATCCAACGCGACCTTTCTCCCCTCGAACCGGGCCTCTTCGGACGAGAAGATCCCGGCCGAGTCGTACGAGCGAGAATTCGACTTCAAGGGCTGTCGCGCCATCGTGTTTGCGAACGGCGAGACGCATCGCTCCGACGGCATCGTTGAAGGCCAAGACATTATCCTCCTCACCCAAGGAACCGGCCACCTGACACTGCCGGCTGGCGTTCAAGTCATCGTCAACTCTGGCTACGTCAAGTGGGAAGCCGCCGGTCGCGGTGGCAGCCGTGCGCCCCCTGGGTCGAGAACTAGCGCCCCGAGCGAGGTCGGCAGTTCGTATTCGGGCTACAGCAGGGCCTCTGGCTCTGGGTCTGCCGCTCCCTCGGGCTATGGTCTGAGACGTGCCGAGACCATGCCTAGCCCTCCGACTGGACGGAGCAGGGTCGGAAGCTCGGCTGGCTCATATGTGAGCGCGCGGGCTGTTCCTCTGCCGCCAAGTCTTGTGAGCGGAGGACTGAACGACATGGCCGACGACAACTGCAGCATTGCGCCGAGCGAGAGCATCAGCTCGGTTGGGAGCCGCGGCGGTCGGGGGTCGGTTTATTACTGAGGGCATCGTCGTGGTGGTCATGTTTTTGATGGGAGCGGCGCTGGGGAGTTGACATTGAACCCCCGTCCCGACTCTTTTCTTTGCGTCAAACTTTAAGGGTCTTGGGTCTTTTATAGGATTTTGTTCATTTTGGCTTGAATATTGCATGATGGATTTACTCATGGGTAATGAGTTGGAGTTTTTATCGTCTTTCAACTTGTTTTGGTTGCATCTGGCCGTCTCATTCACCATGGGACAAATATAACACGACAAGATTAGATAGCATCATCATGACAATGATAGGCGTTTCTTGGCTTGAAATTCAGTTCTCAATAACCTCGGCAAATAGCCAACTCTTCCACGCCACAACGAACTTGAAGCATCATGACTGGCCGAAGAGGAGACATAAAAAGACAAGGGAGTCCACTTCTCCTTCCTAACCTCCACTCTCGTCATGCACTCAACATCCACCCGGCTCGCCCAACCAACCACATCATCAATCACAACAGGCAAGATGGCCGAGCGGTCTAAGGCGCCGTCTTCAGGACACCCACTGCGAAGTCTCCCACAAGAGTTTCTCCATTGGTTCTTGATTGGCGGTCCGAAAGGGCGTGGGTTCGAATCCCACTCTTGTCAATTCTTTTCTTTTTGCTCAGCCATTCAAGTTATCATGCCTATATAGTTTTGACTTGCGTCGAGTATCAAGGAGGCCTCCCGCCGAGCAAATCTCCAAGAGTCCTGATCCTTTTCGTTTATGCCCCCTTGCCCTTGGTAGACTTGTATGGTAAACATTGGCGTTGCAACGGTAACAGGCATGCGCTTCCTTGTCTACCACGTCTCCCCAGTTTCACGCTCTTGAGCTCTTTTACAAAGTTGCAATATCACACCCCAAGTGACAACATCGACTAAAGTCCCGACAAAAGGCCTCTGCAGGCAGCATAAACAGTTCCACTTTTTGCCCCTGAGTCTTCTGGGTCGGCCATTCAGAACAACACCGTGGTCAGGTTGTTGATATTACTCGTCAACACTGCCTCTTGGTATATTGGCTTTTATGTTCTTTTAGCTAATAGCAACTCCTAATGCTTCGTTGATGCCTTGTGCACAGCAAATTTCCCCCAATCGGATATTGCAGATTTGGAATCATTCACATTAAAGGCGGATGGAATCACAAAAGACAGTCGATCGCTCTGTCGCTTATATCAGAGGCCCTCAACCAATCACGGACGTTAGGAGGTGAGTTTTGTATCGATTGATGTATTGTCGTGTCATCTCCTCAAGTGTCATCTTGACGGCTCTTATTCTCGAGGCCGAAGGAAAAGTAGCACCATCAAGATGCTGATAACTGCTACTAGTATTCCTGTGTTTCATGGTTTCAGAACGAAAGGCAGTCCAAGTACTTTGGTGACCGATATTCTAGGCGTAAGCTCGCTTCGGCCAGGCTTGTCACTATACCAGTGGCTTAGAGCTTGGCTCCTAACGGCTCATAGGAGGGATCTACGTTATTAGCGAGAGCCCGCGTTTACAAGCGGCTGAATCCTTCACTGTCCTTGACCGCAAGCGTGAAGGGTTGATTAGCCGGGCCTACCAGTCTATCGTGCCAATACTGGGTGAGCTGTTGACATTGTGGCACGGTTGAAGGAAGCGAGTATATCGTAGCAGCGGCAACTTGCGTACTGGCTATAGCTGTATATTGTCACCTTGCTCGGTGAGGCAGACAGTAGACTTTTCTCCACCTCAACCGCGAGTCTGAGTTGCTACTGGTAGACTTGAAAGCAAGGAACTTGTCTGGGGTATGGAATCATGGTATAGGCAATGCAACTATCTCCATTCTTGAAAGAGGGCCTCGATGGATGGCTCAGGGGCAAGAGACAGCAACTCATGGCCGGTTGATGCCCTCGTGAAATGCTATATAAACCTCGTCGTCGCTCGCACTTGATGCCAGAAATTATCCAGCTTCAATCCAGCATCCTCAAGCAACCAGCCTCCAATCCAGCCAGCCCTTTCTCAGCCAACTCTCAAGACTCTTTTACACAGTCACCCAACACCCCAATCACCAAAATGCAGTTCACCAAGAATCTCGTTGCCCTTGCTGGCTTCTTCGCCCTCGCCATGGCCGCTCCTGCTGCTGAGCCCGAGGCCGCTCCCGCTGCTGTGGAAGAGGCTGCCAACCTCGTCGCCCGTGGCACCGTCACCGTCACCACCTACTCTGGCGATGTCTGCAACGGCTCCTCTGACAGAGTCACCATCACCAACGGCGGCTACCGTTGCTTCCCCGTCAGCAACAAGCGCTCTATTGGTGTGACTGGAGAGTAAGTACAAACAACGACTGGAGTCTGGGAATGAGTTAGCAGACAGAAACTGACATGTGCTTTCTCTCCTCGCATAGCTGCACCGTCGTCACCTGGAGCGGAACCGACTGCCGCGGAGGTTCTTACCGTGCCGGCCAAGGATGCAGCAGCGTCTTGTACGGCTCTGTCTCTATCCAGTGCTAAGCTGGATGCCTAGATAATCGACAGGCACTGCATAGGGATGACTCGGAACCGTAGGGGAAGGATTGGAAGATTGGGTTCATCGTGGCGGAAAAGGGAAAGAAGCGGCATGGTCCAGTTGCGGATTGGGATTCGATGAGAAATGAGTGTCACCTGCTCAGTTAGATCTCGGTAGTCCTGATCGGTACCAGTGAATTCAGCAGTCAGACACCATTGCAGCTGTGCACAGTGTCTCTTGCTCATTATAGATGACAGCGTCACTGACGGGAAGGTACTACCAATTACTACATGCTTGAATACCGTGACTTCCAGTTCCCATATCGATTCTGCTTATTTCCAGCTCCGGCGCAACATTCCCGGGAAAACAAGATGAAATTAGCTTGCGGGAAATTTAATCACTTCTTTCCTCGCCGTGTCCAGCAGTTCATCTTGTTCACTGACCTGCATCTTGGTTCCATGCTCGCTTCCCGAATATCTCCGTGGTGGAACAGTGTTGTTCCCGGCAGTGTATATTAACCCCGGCCCATGATTCGCGCGGGTGGCTCGAGGCCCATGGTTCACCACGTCCCGATTTCTCCGAGTCAACGGACCGGTTCCCTCGCCACACTACAAGACCCCGGCTTGCCCAAAACATGCGCTCCAGTCCTGTTGAGCATTGTCTCGACCGGAACCCAGACCACCGCGATGGACCATCTTGGCATTATAAAAGGGGACCGACGGCGTCGATTTACCCACCCGATGCGAATGGCCATACTATCCCATTCCTTGGCCCAACTCTCGCTGCCGATTCAGCTGTCGGCGCTGGGCACATATAAAGATGGACAATACCTTGACATGGAACGTCTGGTGAGCGCAACACAATCAATCGCACCAGAGACCACAAAATGCTGACCAAAACCCTCGCAGTAGCTGGGCTCGCCGCCCTTAGCGGCAGAGCCGTAGCCGACAATCCCATCATCCAAACCCGCTACACGGCCGATCCGGCGCCGTTTGTGTACAACAACACAGTCTGGCTCTTTGCCGACCACGATGAGCCGGGATCGACATGGTACACCATGAAAGACTGGCGCCTGTACTCGTCCACCGACATGGTGAACTGGCAAGACTGGGGCGTGGTGATGGACATTCCGACCTTCTCGTGGGCAAGCAAAGACGCCTGGGCGGCCCAGGCCATTGAGCGCAACGGCAAGTTCTACTTTTACGCCAGCATGACGCGTAAAGGCGCCTCGTACGGTATCGGTGTTGGGGTGAGCGACAGCATCACTGGCCCATACCGCGATCCCATCAACAAGCCGCTGGCCGCCAACGGAAACATCGATCCCACCGTCATGATTGACGACGATGGACAGGCCTACATGTACTGGGGCAACCCGGGGTTCTATTATGTCAAGCTGAACAAGGACATGATCTCCTACTCGGGCGGCATCGTGTCGGTGCCGACCACGCAGCAGGCATTTGGACCCAAGTTTGCCGAAGGACCGTGGGTGTACAAGCGCAACGGGACCTACTACAACATCTTTGCGGCCAACTGCTGCCCCGAGGATATTCGCTACTCGACTGCGCCGTCGGCCACTGGGCCATGGACGTACAAGGGCGTGGTCATGGCCACCGAGGGCGCGTCCTTCACCAACCACCCGGCCGTGATCGACTACAAGGGCGGGTCGTACTTTTTCTACCACAACGGCGCACTGCCCGGCGGGAGCGGATACACGCGGTCGATTGCGGTGGAAAAGTTCGAATACGGACGGGATGGGTCGATCCCGCAGATGAAGATGACGGCTGCGGGCGCACCCCAGATCGGGAGTTTTGATCCCTACGTCCGGGTCGAAGCCGAGACGATTGGCAACTCCAAGGGCCTCAGCCTCAGCACCGAAAAGACGGACGATCCCGAGGGCGGGAGGATGCATGTGACCAGCATCAACAACGGGGACTACATCATGGTCAAGGGCGTGGAATTCGGGGCAGCCCCGGGCGCAACAGGGCTGAGCCTGCGGGTTGCCGCCCAGAATGGAGGGTCCAAGATTGAGGTGCGGGTGGGAAGTGTGACGGGCACGCTGGTCACGACGTGCAATATTGATGGTACCGGTGGTGCCAGGTCGTGGAGAACGCTGCAGTGCGCCGTTCCACCGGGTTCGGCAACAGGCAAGCAGGATCTCTTCTTCAAGTTTGTCGGGAGTGGAAACAATAATCTGTTTAATTTTAATTGGTGGCAGTTTTCGCGGGCGGCTAAGGCTTGAGATTAGAGACATTTCAGGGGCTCATTGAGGAAGACAAAAGGTGCATTGCCATGTTTTGTAACTTTTGTTACCCACGAGGCAGTCCACATCTTTGATCACCAATGCTTGTTTGTCATCACAATACGTGCATCGTCCATTGATAGAAACTTGGCAACAAGCAAAGGAAGTCGGCAAAGAGATGCCAATGATGGAAGCCCAGATGATCCAGATCTCATAAGATCTCAGGGACACCCACTGCAACCTCGGCATTTTCCCCAGCGTCAGCGTCATCCCGTGAGGACCCTGCATATCGCTAGCCCGGGGTGTGCTGTCGATCGGGCACCTCGGGCTCCAGTGCCCAGCGCTCCAGACCCTGATGGCATCGAATCTGTCAACAGGGGGGGGGGGGGGGGGGTTCAGCTCGCTGCATCCAGGGTCCCCTTTCCCAGATCTCTCAGATCTCCTGACTTGATTTCCCCTCCTTGGGCTGCTTGAGAATGCCGCCTGGTGGTCAAAACAAGCATAGCTTGGCCCGACCAACCCGCTTCGGTCACGATAGGCGCCTCATGCGGGTTTGCTGGCACGCACGGCGTTCAATAGATTGCTGGCTAGCGCTCAATACGAATGGGCTGAACGCTGTGGAGATTGGAACTATTGAGCCGCTCCGCTGGGCCCGAACAACACGAGATGACGCCGAAAGCCGCGAAGCTGAGATATTTTTCAAGATGAGGTGACGCCTCTGCGGGCGTCTAGATCTTTCCGTTTGGTATATGTAATAATGAGAGCCCTTGGCTTTTCTGTCTCTGTCTCTGTCTCGGTCTAAAAATATCTCCAGACTTCAACTTGCAGGTTTCAAGCTCAGCATCAAGTTCTGTTCTGGCCATGAAGTTCACCACCGCTGTCCTCGCCGGCTGCGGCCTGGCATCCGCCT